GTGCCGTTGTCTGTCTCTCTGTGATAGACTGGCCACCTGTCCAGTGGCTCTCACCCTATCACATTTGGGATAGGCCCCTGCAACCCTGGTAAAGATAAGAGGATGAATATTGTGGAAGTTATTACAAATCCATGAACATTTTATGTTAACCAGACTCTAGACTTTGTTGAACACTCCAAAAAAAATAACTCTTTAAATAATCATGGAAAGGATTTCCACGTGGCTTTCTATTACGATTAAGCTTTTTTGTCGCACTAACGTAATTTGCATGGTTTGGATCAACTCAATTAAATTAAGTTGGACTCAACTGTAGTAAAACAGTTGATTCATCATTAATTAATCAAGTTAGTCCAACTCAAGCACATTAAGTTGGAATAACAGAATTGCATAATGCGAAAATAAAGCAATTTAATTACGTGGAATTATTTTTTTTATGTTCATTCAAAGAGTTGGTTTTTTTTTTTTTTAGCGCATTACATCCTCATTCATGGGTTCAGCTGCTCTTTTTTTTGTTGGCTGTTTTGTTTCTCTGAGGATTTGCCAGTGTGCTCCACAGTCTTTATCCTGTTGAAACGTGCTGGTATGATGGAGAATTTATTGTTGGATCAGTGACAGTAAGCTTTACACTTTCTGAGGCAGTGTTGTAAAAATCGGACATAAATTGAAGCGCGCACAACCAGGTTGTCTGCGTGAGTTTTATTTTTCTTTGCAAAGGGGTCAAACAACAGTACGGAGACTATGACAGCAGTCTGAATGCTTTTCTGACAAACAGGGACTGTAAACACAGATCGAATTATCTGTTGGCTATAGTCACAGAATAGATTCGTATCACTGTGTGCAAAAGATCATTTGTGCATCAACATGTGGTGTAGCTCAAAAATGACACAGTGAAGTAGCACAATCCTAAAAAATTCCCACCGCGTTTCTCATTTTGATAATCAGATTTACGACATAAACATCACTCCCCAAAACACTCATCCCAGTGTGTCATAGGGAAAGCACGCTAATGCCACTCCTTGCTGCGTAACAAGCAGTAATGAGACAAAACGTCCATTATTATACTAAAACTTGTGATTCTTCATCACGTCCTGGCTGAGGCGCACACTTAACCCACTCATCTGACAGGGAGTGATCAATATACCTTGGCAGCATCAGATTTACACACAGCACTACACAACAGAGAATATGACAAACACAATGAACACATATCTAGCTCGTGGCGGTGGTTGGGTTGAGATCCTCCTTCGTGTCTGCTGTTCTGTTGTCCCAGAACTGGACGGATGGCTGGAGCTCGGAGCAAAGCTTTCCTCTCTCACAACTGAAGCAACAAAGCTGAGGAGAGGCTTTTCCTTCCAAACCTGGTGTTTGCTGTAAGATAGCGCTTTACTTCTTCCCCTCTGTTTTTGTTAATTGTCAGACAAAACAACTCCTTTCCTGGAGTGGGAAGAGCATCCTTCACCTGCCTGTCAATTTGGGATAGCACAGAAGACAAAGTTCTGTGATGTGTCAGGCTGTCATTTCCACAGTGGTCAGGGAGAGGTGGTCTGTCTACGCCTCACCCCATTTCGGGGGGTCTTCCCAAGCAGAATATCAAAGGTACTGAAAGATCAGGTTGAGTCGTTTTGCAGTTCCCCAGCAACAGGCAGCAAAATACCAGGATTTAAACAGTGCAGCCTTGGACGCTGATGTTTACTAAGCCAAGGAGATCTGCACTGTATTTGACCAAACGTGTTTGAAAGGACCCGAATCCTCCCGTCTGCCACTGTCACGCTTTGAGAGCGACACACGAGGAGTGGATTTGACGCATCAAACATGTTAACTGTGTGGCTGCTAGCTGCACATTTATGTTAGCACTGTTTCTACTGAGATGTTTCTATTTCAGTAAAATCGTAATTATCTAAAGGTCTTTTATTTTTATCAATATAAATCAGGAGTATTTGATATTTAAATTTAGTTTAGTTTTTTTATTATTACTGTATGGAGGTCACCCATTTAGACAAGATTGATTAAACTCAGTACAGGTATTACAATAAAAAACACCTCAGATCACAGCTTGATGTCCCTGTGTGGCAACAGGTAGGCAGTAAAAATGAGGTTTGAGGTTAGATTTTCCACTGATTCATGATTACAGATTAGTAATAAAACAAGATTTTTTCTCACCACTTGTCCTGACGCCCTGACAGAGGAAACATAGCCGCCACTGACCTTTGAAGGACCTGGAAACTTACAATTTGTCTTCACAGTAGGAAATAGCTTGTGTGAAAAGCGTAAGTTATAAACTATCAGGTGTGTGCGCTGCACGTCTCTCCTGGGCCTCTCCTCCAGCCTCGCCGTGCTCGTCGTCAGCAGTGTTGATCACATGGAGACAGAATCAGATCATATGGAGCTTTTTCACTAAGTGAAGTCAACTTGACAAAGATATGTAGCAGAATCTTAAAGTTTTCCATTGCAGGCAGCAAAGAAACACTGACCCATAGTTCTTACTGTGCTATACAGCTGGTATCAGGTCATCCATGAAAGCTTTGATCTATGTTGAATGACTGCTGCCTTTGTCTCTGTGCATGCAATTTAATTCCAAAAAGATGCCTGCTCTTTGCGTAAGTGTTCAGTTTTTTCATGGCATACTTGTCTCTCATTGGAAATATATTTAACACACACACAAAAAAAAACTATCTACAGATTAAGAAATTAAAAAAATATCTGTGGGCTGCCCTGAGGTAACAATCCAGGAAAAGCAGGCAGTCAATTCAAATCCACTTTTGGATGATTTTCTTTTAATGGGATGATTTATTTGAAATCATCTGCATCCCCTTACCAGACTCTGAGGCATCCACAACCTCTTTAGATGCTGGTGATGAGCGTGAGGCCGTGGCGGTTCAATGACACCGGTCAGGGTTCTACTTAGCACCCAACACTACAGTAAGAGATCCATCTCCTGTATTGGTCTCTGCGCTCCTGCGTGTTTGCTCCTCCTCTACTTTCTGTGTGGTTTGCAGTGTTTGACTGGGCTCTTCGTCTTTTCCGTCTTCATGACCTGGTCTTGACTGCTTAGTTAGTCAAGACCAGAAAGTTGCTCAACGTATTCTAGCTCTAAATCTGCAATCTGTACTGTGATAGCCAAGCTACTTAAATACAACTAACCCAGCAGTTATGAGGCCAGAGCTACAGATGCTAATGATAAACAATTTGTCCTGAATTTCACAATTCCAGTTTATGGCTGAATAAGAGGACGGAGGGCTGTTTAATTACATCACTGTTACTGTTCCTCTGTGCCTCTAATCACGAGTCCAAATGAGTTTTCATATTTCAATAAATGTGAACATTTTTACTATAATTAATACTAATGCTGCACCCACTGAGGAGCTCCCAGGAAACTGATTTTTTTAAAGTCAGAAGAGGTTTAAATAATTGGCTAAAAAGCCGGCTGTGAAACTTGACAATCCTTCAGCAATAATGGAAAGAGCATTTTAATAACCACATGTTTTAATATCGCTCAGGTTCCTAAAATGGCTTTATGTAACCTTGCTAATTGTTTTTCTTTGCTGAACTAGATGAAGTCTGGTTTTAACATTTAGTCCCAGACAGCGACTCGACCCACGTATGCACTGCATCTTTATTTAACCCCTAAACGTCTGGTGTATCCTATGAGTTTTTGAGACTCGCATATCATCAGTGCGATGCTGCACAGTACATTTTTAAGCAGTAATAATATAATAATAATTAATAATATAATTTTTTAGATTGTCAGAGCATTCAATAAGCACTCAATTATCATGGTTTGGGGCTTTAAAGGGTTAAATCTATGCACGTGCATATGCATATTTTATTTTGTTTATATCCGTTTTTGCCTTTTGGCATACTGCAAATGAGTAGCCAGCAGACTTCCTGTTACGTTTTATAGGGACAGGGTGGGTCTGCTTTACTGATCTCCAGGGTAGCGGTGTGAAACAGACATAAACAGTCATTGTGTCAGTCAGGGCTGGGGCCAAAAGACCACAACAACAGCATCAGCAACAGTGTCGAGCTGGGATGGGTACGTAACCTCCCCCACTCCCCGGCCATGTCGCAGCAGTTAAATATAGGGCAGCGGGTCGATCAGATGATCTCTGCAGATGCAGAGCAGCAGGAGCATTTTCATCATTTCATTTCTTCCAAGAAACATAACAGAGTGGGGTGAATGGTGGGAGGGGGACAAGTGATTTAAACAGGTCATTAAAATCCACACATTGCTATACACGTTACGACTGAGCAGTTTATGTCCATCTCACAGCTGAAGCATCGGTTGTGTTTAAATGCTCTTTCATCTCTGAGGAAGTTTCTATTTACTGATCGCAGTTACTCAAAAACTCCAGAGAACTTTCTTCCTCGCTGTACTGAACCTTTGAACAGGCTGAGCAAACGATTGTGGATCCACATCAATATTCAGTGACGAAGCCGCTGAGCAGGGAGACGTGCGAGCACCCGGTCAGCTGTACGTAACCTCAAGATGTCCATTTCAACCACAGTATGGACTTTATGAGAGGCACTCGCCTTTTTAAGGAGCCACAGTGTGTCTTTTGTCCTGGCTTCCTCCCCTCACCCCCAACCGGTCACCGTAGATGGCTGCCCCACCCTGAGCCTGGTTCTGCTAGAAGTTTCACAAATGTTTCAGATCATCAAACAAATACACGATCTGTGACTTGACCTTAAAAATTCAGTTCATGCTGGAAAACCCTCCAACGTGGCTGAATTACAACACGGTGCTGTAGAAGACTCTCTCCCACAATCGATATGTGATCCATTGTTGATCTGCCCACAGCTGTTGTCACTAACAGCGCACTCGCTTACATCACTGTCCTGAGACATTCTCGCAATCACGGTTTTAGTAACGCAGTAACGCAGCGTTCCTACGGGAAAGTAACGGTAATATAATTACCGTTTTTGTAATAGTAATCCCTTACTTTACTCGTTACTTGAAAAAAGTAATCAGATTACAGTAACGCATTGCCACACACTGATTGTATAAACAACGTTTTTATTGTATCAGCGGTCTGGTTGTTGTCTGTCACATACACAAAACAAACCCCAGGGAGGCACTTCTCACTGCTCGGCTGCAGTCCCTCGGAGGGCCTTACCGTCTTTGACATTTGAGCCACAGGGTGATGGAAGCTGTGTTAGAAAGACGCAGCAGTGAGCGCCCATCCAGACGGGACAACACGCAGCTCAGCCCTCGACTCCTGCCAACAAATAATTCATACCGCTAACATTTACTTTGTTCAAACGCTGTCCGGCCTTTCTCCCCCGCCCTGTCTGTGAACCCCAAAGCACACGTCTGAGCTGAATGAAATGTCTAAGTGAAGCACGCAGTTAAAGACTGAAAGTTTACAGGAGCTTTTAGAGTTTTTATGCTGTGGGCGAGGAGAAGATCCACCACAGAGCTGATAATCTTTAAATAGAAATACAAAGACGTAGCTTGAAATCAGCTTTATAGTGAGTAAGCATACCTGAACTCGACAAAAGTCCAACAGTTAAATAAAAAGGAGACAGGATGCTTTGAAATTAAATTTCACAAGACAACATAACCCAGAGGTTTAGAGAGCTCCAGCAGTGAAGCCCCACCAGGAAGAAATGCATGTTGGCAGCCTTACAAAGACGAAAGAGGACTGTGAAATTTCAAGGCTTCAATTCCCAGAAATGATGTAACGTTGCCTCAATAAAACTCGCTGCTTGGACCTGAATCTTATCTTTGAGGCTACAGGGCTGGAAACTAGAGTTCAAACAACGATGTGCAGAGCTCTGCACAAATTAAAAATCCAAACAAAGTCAATGAAAAGTCGTGAAGAACGAGTCGATCAAAAGGCTTCATTCTTTATCTTCTTCAGCGGTCTCGTCGAGGGTCGGAGGTCATGTGCTCCGTGGGCGAAGGCGCAGCTTTCAGCCTGCAGGGGGCAGCCCTGAGGGTGGTGAGCGTGAAACCAGCAGAGGCGAGTTTTCAGGGCACCCGGGGTGACGGGCTTCCTTTTAACATCCGCCCTGAAGGGCATCTTCTCCCGCCAGTCTCTTATGTAGACACGCCCTCCTTCAACTAAAGAGTGACAAGAGGGAGACACAAAATCTATCAGACTCAAACGCTCCTCCCAAAAGATACAAATAAATATTTTCTTAAAAGACAGAAATTAGGAGAAGAACACAACATAGATGCCTGGCTGTCAGGGCACCGGGTAGAAAAAGTCATGTCTGCGCTGACCCCCACAGGTTATAAGCTTCTCACCTTTCGAGAGTCGTGCACATTTTTATCTATTATCAGAAAGAAATGTCAACTTTGTTTCTATCTCAAGTCTGACTTTGCTTGCACTCTAAGCAATTTCTGTAGGGGAGGGGATCCAATTTTCTCAAACTGATCCCTCGAGACCAACCAAATTCCAAATGACGATGGTAAAAGCGCTCATTTCCCCTCTTTTTCAATCAACAAAAGCCCAGTGTGATGCCATGACGCCAAGCAAATTAACTCTTTGCATTGGACGATTCAAGAGTTTTGGCAAGCACAAGTACGCTTAAATATGCTTTGATGTCAGTGTTGTGGTTACGGGGGGGGGAAGAAAAGGAAGGCATACTTCTCACCCTGCTGTCTGACACTTTTAACCAGGAACAGCAGCAAAACACACTGCTTTACGGTCAACGACAGTACGACTTCCAGGACTGCATTTTAAAAAGTGTTTGTCCAGTTATGTTGAAAGAATTGTGGCCTGGATTGTTGTTTCCAAATTGTGGTTCTGAGCGTGAGACGTTTTCGTGAGTGAATAAAATTAGGAAAAAAAAAGATGTTGCTGCCATGTTTATCTTTAGAAATAGTAGCTTTTAAAAGTCTTAAAAGCATACACTGTAGTTAAAAGATGTCAACATATGGGTAAAATTTTGCAACCTGGAACGAGGCCATCGCCACCTTATGGTTTTAAAGAAGTGCCCATACCAGGAGGTGGGACTAATGCTAGCTAGCAAGCTAGTATGAAAACAAACAAAATGTTCGTAATGGAAAAACTGGACAGCTGACTCCTCTGAGGGCTTTTTGTACTGACGAACACCGAACGAGCAAGGTGCAAGCAATAAAGCATGAACTGTATTCTAATTAAGACGTTCTTTTAAGGATCTATTAAAGAAGACTTGAAACCAAAATTACCAGTTTACTCAAGTCATAAATCAAACGAGAAGTAGGGTAACTTTGAAATATCCCCAGAAAGTAGGGTTAAGGCCTCCATCTTTTATATACAGTCTATGATTTAAATTGTTGGAAAATAAAAATTCAAACAAAATCTGTTTTTAAAAAGAAGCTAACGGTTTTTTATTTAACACCCTTTCTGTTACTCATATAACCTCCAGTATCTTTCTCACTGTCACTGGTTTCATTTAAGCACTATATTGTACTTAATGAACAGTCTAGTTCTCAACAATACAACTTTCAAATGAACCATCTACGAGAACGTAGAGAAGCGTGCAGAAAAGCTACCTCTAAATACTTGATGATTGTTCCTCAGAAGCGTCTGAAGACCTCCGCACTCTTTCTTCAGGAGCCGCAGGGTTTCCTGCCCCAACAACCCCGCAACCTCGCTCACAGAAAGGCTGCCTGAAGGGCAGGGAAGAGGGACAAACAATGAAAGATGGGAGTTATACATGTGCAGGAAGAGGTCTATTGATTTTATAATCATCAATGCATTAACACAGTGCTTCAGCATGCACAGAGATCGTTTTTATCCAGCATTTCAGACAAAGAACCACTCGGCTTGAGTTGATGTTACCGGCTGTTCTATGACAAGAAAATGCGAGCAAAGCTATATATACACATAGTATATAAAGATTGGTTTACAGTAGAGAGTAGCTTGTCAGAGTGTTTGTCAGAGCTGTAAAGTCTGCTCAGTTAAAGCCGTTCCAACAAGCTGTCGGGGCAGCTGGAACGCGTTTTGCCAGAGTAGCCATTTGAGAGCCTGAATCATTTTTGTCAACTCTCCACTGGGGCAGAGATTTTAGAAAGGAAAAGGAGAATATGTACAGTTTTAACCTCTAGGATTAGCATAGTATAGATGACAAACCCCTTTGTAGTCACACATACTTTCGCACTATGGTTATAAAGATCTTTTGGCATTTCTGGCCTTGCCCTTTTTACACCACAAGGGAATTCAATCTGAGCTGACCTTTGGTTTATACAAATGACAAACTTCCTCCTTTCTCTGACGTATTGGAGGGAGAGACACACCGCATGATTTCATAACTATATTTGACTTAAATCTGCATCTTCAGTGATATCTTCATCGTACTTCTGTGGTCACTCGCTGCAATCCCTGCTGGCTTAGAGATGATATGAATACTGAATATGAATGAAAAGCACCGTCTGACCCTCTGATCCAAAACTCAGTTTTCCGAAAACTGTTCAGTTTCAAACTCTTCTGCTTGTCAGGTCTCTGAACCTTGTCTTTCTGCCGTTGAAATTCATCGAAAAACATATTGTCCACCCAAATACATCCTAATTTTAGTTGGCCAAATTGCTGCGTTAATCCCTAAAATATGCGACACACTCCCACATTCACAGACACTAGCGCAGCCAAACCCAGTCGTATGCTGCAGAGTGTGAAACTGGGCAGACTCTCATCCCACAGCTCTGACGCCAGGGAGCTCCAGGCCTTGATATAATATCAATACACCGTTTAGAGCTGCCCTTTACTGCCTACAATGTTAATGGGGATTAATGGGATAGGGACAGTATTGACAGAGTAGATTCAGCTTGGACTAAGACCAGGTGCAGATGAGAATTAATGACTTGGCTTAAAGTACAGTTGGACTTGCTTGTTTGAAACGATGCCTGTTGTGTAGGATTGCTTTTGTTGTGCTGAAGAAAAAAAGAAAAAAAAAAAAAAGAGAAAAGAGCTCAGCTGTGATTTCCATCTTTGCAAAAACTGCAACTCTCACAAGGCGTGTAAAGATGACAGGACATATTTCTGAGGGATTACATACTTTTAGGGTAATATTTGTCTTGATGAGCAGAGGAGGGGTAGTGGACATGGAGCTGCCCAGGCAGGAGGAATAGAGGGAGGCCACAGAGAAGATTCATGAATGTAGAGAAGGAGGACATGCAGAGGGTTGGGGTGACAGAAGAGGTTGGAGGCTGGTGATTTGTTGTGGTGACCCCTAAATGGAGAAGCCAAAAGAAGAAGAAGAAATCTATATACTTCTGGAGGAATCATAGGGTTTGGAGACAATGGAAATGCTATGATTCTGCAAACCATTTAACTTGAGCATAAAATGGTCACTCAGACAAACAACAACAGAAGTCTCGCTTTTTTCCATCACATTTGAGATCTCTTAATCGGTCTCTCTGTACACGGCTGCCCCACGTCTCTCTTTGCAACCTCACCGCTAGCTCACAGAGCAATAAACACAGCAGAGAGAGAGGAAAGGAGACAGGCTACTGCTGTGCCAGGAGAGCAAGATGTCCCTGCAATGCAAAGGAATAAGTACGCGAGCTTTTTGCTAAACCTTTAAAAAAAAAAAATCTATTTACAAGGTGATGAAAAGTTGGTAAATGATCTGGCAAAGGTGCAAAGCTAGTAACAATCAGGTGAACTGAAACATGAACTTGCTATAATATGATGCCACCGTGTTGCCTGGCAACCTAAAAAAAAAAAAAAAGGACTACTGGCATTTATATAGTAATGCAGGACACTGACATGTACTAGAACCAATAATTACATTATTATTGCTAATAAACGTAAATATGCATGCTTGCTGAATCCTCTTATAGCACCCAATAAATAATATTTACACTCATCCTCATATATCTATGGCTCGAGCATGTGGCTTACACATTTCCCTGCCAAGCGAAAGATCCCCCGGTTCAGTCTGGGAGGAGACACAAATCCCTTTGGGGTTGTGTCAGGAAGTGCATCCAGCACATCCAGATCAAACGTGCGGAGCTACCTGCTGTGGTGACCCTTTGCGAATAAGGGAGCATCTGAAAGCAACTTTAAAACCGGCCTTTATATGAATGACATTTTGGAGACAAAAGCAAAAGTATACAAAAAACAAAAACAACCCAAAAAACTCCGTTTGGATTTTTTCAAACCAACAATCTGAAAAATATTTGGTTTAAACTGAAGGAAAGCAGAAAATGTTCCAGCATGTGAAAGAGTGAAGTGAAGCGTTCACTCATCAAAAACACACCGCGCCCTTCCACGCAGGCTGCTTCTACTGAGTACAATAGCGTGTTTACTGTCCCTCTGACATTTTACTGAGTTGACATTTAGTGTCGCTCGATGTACAGCTACACACAGATTTTCATTCTCGGCGTGATTACATAACTCTGTGACTCAGCACTACAGCCCGCATGAATTAGTAACTTGCTTCATATTTACAGTGTCTCAGAAGAGCTGTGAGATATTTTTAAGTTTAATGTACAGGAAGCACAATATATGCAACTGATATAAGCAGCAGAGACACTAAGATGTTTTAACTTGCTCAGTGCAAACCTTTTAAATAGAAGAACTTGTCCCAAATAAAAAAGGAAAGAGTCTGATTGATGTTAAATAGGAATTTTCATTTCAAAGAATTACTATAAATCACTGAGTATCAGTCTTATGATACAAACCCAACAATAGCTGGCCAAACAGGAAAAATACTGACTCTTATGCATAGTGAAAACCTGCTTATTTCTGACAGTTTCAGAGCTTAATGAGTATTATTTGTTTGTATTTACAGTAAAAGAGATAAAAAGAAAAGATAAAAGAACATCGTCTGACGTCGCACCAGAGCCATAAAGCCACAGAAACAAAATGATCATAAAATATCCGCTTAAGTGCCAAAAAGGGAAACATCACCATACTGAAAATGATTAGACTTTTTGAAGATGCATTAAAGAGCAGACAGAAACTAAACTCCAAAGCACTTTAAATGACTCCGAGACCCATCTGGATTTATTTAACATGCGCTGGCTCCCTCTGAATTTGGCCTTTGTTCGTACACAGCAGATAACTGGTAGGAATCCCTCAATACAAATGCGTGCTCATGCATAAATCATAGATGGTGGTGCATTATTCATGCAGTCATCTCCATACAGAGTTACACTCTCCCTTTATTCACTCTCCCTAAAATTTTCTACCTTTAATTCCACCGACACCCCGACAAGAAACGTTCTGTTTTAATAATAGCAGGCTTCGTGCCCTTATCTCGTTCATAACGTGTGACTGTGTGTGAGTGTGTGTGTCAGCGGGGCTGCAGAGGTGTTGACAAAGGTGATTGCGTGGGTGCTGTGAAAGTAAATGTGTGTGCGTGTCTGTGGGTGTTTGATACGGGCTGCGTGGTACGCAGCTGGCGGAGGGTGTGGCAGAGTTCAAAGAGGCGTCGCTCTGTGTCATCAGGTCTCACCGGCTGATGCTGAGGGGCAGGATTGTAATCAGCGAGGTGGGGGGGTCAGACGGGATGATGGACGAAGAATGAAATTCAAAGTTCAGGCAGTAGGTGCTGCGGATGTAATGGTGTAGCTGGTGAGTTTTAAAAAGTGCTGACGCCATATGTAACGATTGATTGTGACGGTGTCGTTTCAGAGGCATCGGGTTACATCTGCACCGCACCATACGAGGTAAAAAGCACTCACTATGTAACTGATCAAAGGCATAGACTGTGTACAAAAGATGGAAGTAGCCTCGGGGGTTGAAAAGTGACCACAGTAGGGAAATGCCCCAAACCTGCATTCTTTGTAATGGACAGTAGAGGCACCAAAGCACAACAACAGTTGCCTCAATGTGCTTTATATTATAAGGTAAAGACTCTACAATAATAAAGACAAAACCTTAATCAGATGACCCCCTGTGACCAAGCACTTGGTGACAGTGGGAAGGAAAAACTCCCTTTTAACAGGAAGAAACCCCCAGCAGAACCAGGCTCAGGGAGGGGCGGCCATCTGTTGGGGGTGAGGGGAGGGAGACGGGGGAAAAGGCACACTGTGGAAATCCAGAGTGGTGCATAAAAACAAAGGGTGAACGAACAAGAAACACTCAACAAGCCCCTGGCAACCCAGCAGCGTAACTAAGGGAGCACTCAGGGTTACCTGATCTAGCCTTAACTATAATCGTTATCAAAAAAGGAAAGTTGAGAGCGTGTCTGTCTCCCACATTCAAATGCTTGCACGCTTCAATAAATCACTGGACCCGTTTCTCATTTTCCCAGCAAAATATAAAGAAACGAGGTGTGGCTGAAGACTTTAGCAGAGTGCTGTACACCAATGTGGTGAATACATTAGAGGCAACGAGATGTCCACTAATAGCCAACCATTAGCTTCGAAGCAAAGGGAGAGTAGTGAATCTGTATCCTGTATATGTGGACAAGGCTTAAATAGTGTGGTTCACAACAGCTGCTTATCCACAGACATTAACATCCACCTACCAGCCCTTATACAGCTTTCTTACATCATATACACTTTCAAGCTCATCTAATGTTCTTCTCACCTCTCCAGCAGAAAACACATTATAAAGTCATTTTGCCTTTAATTACAGGTTGATACACTTAATCACAGTGAGAGAAGTTAATAAAAAAATAGGGTGATAGATGTTTTTGATATGCTAAGACTGGGTCATTTACATAGCGCCAAATCACAACAGCGGTTGCCTTGAGATGCTTTTTTTTGGTAAAGACAATAATTAATAATAACTGTGTTATAATATAAAAACGTGACAATGTCTTTAAAAGCTGTTTTTTGGTGCGAATAATTGGTCAATTTAGCCGACTGCTAGGTGGTAGTTAGGCAACATGATGACATCATAATATCTCATCTAGACAAGAACCTTCAGGGGCCTAAGATGCATCTGAGCGCCAGGTCTTGATGCTCAGACCGGGCACTCAGATGCATCACACAGAGAGTCTTTCTGTCCTACAGGCAAATAGGAACACCTCACAGATACTGATCCTATTCTGGATTTGATCTCAACCTGTGACTCAGTTCAGCAGCGACTCATGTCAATCGTTTTACCTCCTTGGTTCCAGTCACGGCAGGATCCTTCTCCATCGCCCGCGGTCATTCCCAGAAGAGCATTAGCAACCCGCAGAACAACACCGTCAACAAAGTCCCGCGGGAGAGCAGCACAATTTCGCACCGCTTCGACGCGATCTCGCGGCTGGAACCCGGCTCCCCAGGAGCTCCCGGGGGTGCCGTTACAGCTTCCGTCCCCATTGCAACAGTCCTCGTCATTACTGACGTCTGACCTCTGAACTGTGACCCCGGGAGCAGTGCAGCGGCTGTGGATGTAATGAGCCCTTTGTTGCTCTACCTCAGGTTCATCAGATAACTGATAGTTTCTTGACTTTCCTAAAAGACACACCTGTGGGAAAAAAAGAAAAAAAAAAAGAGAGCAGAGTGTGAGGGCGACTCCCTGTTTGGTTGTCTTTTCTTGTTATTAAGTTCAAAGAAATCATACTTTTTCTTTCCATTTGAAAATGTTCCCATGAAATAATTTTGTGGGAGAGCTTTTGCTGATATGAGCAAACTGAGTGTTACTGATGAGCAAACAGCAAAGCCCAGAAAATAATAGCTTGTTCTTTTTATGGCCACGAGTATATTGTAGCTATTAATGGCTACCCGCTAACAGATTTATTGTTCCCTCTGGGATTATAAAGACATCCTTGATTTATTGTACGTCTACACTAAACGAAGCCCAGGTGGAGAAAAGGCTGGGATGCACAGCTGTATGATTTACTTCAGCCATCCACTGATCATAGCGCTGAGAAGTGTTTCCACATAATCCCAGGATTGCAAAAACATGTAATGAAGTTACTGACTTCAAGCTAATCGCATGACAGCAGCTGGTCAAGACAACCTGATGAAGGTCCAAGCTGTTTCGAGCTGACAGGAAGGTAACAGTAACTTAAATAGCCACTCATTTCAACCGAGGTGCAGAAAGGCATCTCAGTGCACAACAGATCCAGCCTTGAAGCAGTTGGGCTACAGCAGCAGAAGACCCTACTAGCTGACAGGAAGCTGAGGCTACAGTTCACACAGACTTTCCAAACACACAGCAGACTGGAAAACCATCGCCTGATCCCGTCTCAGTTTCTGTTGTGACATTCAGACGGAGTCAGTATATGGTGTAAACATGAAAGCATGGATCCTGCCTCGGATCAACAGGAAGTCTTGGCACACTTAGTACTAACCAAATGTTAAACACCCCAATCTGCATGTGTTTTGTTGTTGACCATGTCCATACATTCATGACCACAGTGTAACACTCCATGTCGCAAAGCTCAACGTGACAGCGAGTTCCCTGTACTCTAAAGTCCTCCACAGTCACCAGATCTCAACCCAACAGAGCAGCTTTGTGATGCGGTGAAACGGCAGATTCTCATCACGGATGTGCAGCAACTGTGATGCTGTCTTGGCAACGTAGCCCTTTTGTGCTATTCTGAAAGAAGAGTTATAACTTTCAGATCTGTGCAGGGGAGAGATGCAGTTGAGGTGCATTATGGGAAACGTCATAACTAAGGTGTGTTTTAATTTTCACAAACTTTTTTACAACCATTTCAAACCTGCACCTATTACAGAACCCCACCAAACGGATTTCTCTCTTTATTTCTTTCCCTCGCTGTCTTGTATTAATTATTTGATAGCTGACAGCAGAGCTGCGCGGTAGACGGGTGGAGAGAGAAGAAGAATTCACGAATTGCTGAACTAATACAATGTGATTTGTTCTGGAGCACAGACTGAAAGAAGAAGGAAAAAAAAAAAACAGAGGCCGGGGTCAAACAAATGTTTACAACAAGTCAGATGGATTTGCTGTGAAGCCGCCTCCACTCTGTTTCTGTCAGCCTACCCGTTTAGTAGAAGGTATTCTCAAACAGTCTTCGTCAGTGTTGAAGCCACAGACTTGGCTGACCTCAGCGATGAAGTCGATGTATTCCTTGTACTGAGACTTCTTACACTGGCGTCTCTGGTATTTTCCACAGAAGTCGAAGAAACAGCAGGGGAGGACAAAGTAGCGGCAGGAATAAGACGACCTATAATTTGAAAAAGAAGGGACAAAATAAATCTACACAGTGCCGATCATTACTCTTTAATGCAGTCAGACTACAGAGGACTTGTTTTACTTAAGCATTTTTCCACCTTTACTCAAACTGTTCAGACAGGAAGCGACACACACAAGAAATCATCATCTGCAGTCTCAAACAAGGAGAAATCTGACTCCTCACGCTGAGGCTCAACATCGCCATCAGGTGGCCGTTTCAGTAAACACACACACACACACACACTCTTCACACATCACCCCCTGCCCATAATGTTATTCCAAAACTGGAGAGATCAGCTGGCACTTGAGCTGCTGAGTGTGATTGTGTCTCCTGATGACTCGCCTGGCTGCTATAACGGGGATCCACGGTGTGAGCTCGTCCGAATGGTTCCCAATCAGCCAGTCTGTACCCGGGAATAAGAAGCTCTCGCTGGGAGTAATTGCCTTTTCCTGAAATAGCACAGACCCAAAGAGTACAAGAGGTCCTTAGAGCAGGAGGGATGCACACCGGTCTAATTTAATATCATTTAATAGAAATAAGTATTTTTATCTGCTTAGACTTTTATTTGCGATGCATTTAAAGTTTTGGTTTGGGTTTTTTTCTTAGTGGGCTCAAATATTTTTTATAATTGCAATTAGAAAACAACTACAAGATCCCAACAACTTTTTTTAGAGAGTTTATATAAATCCTTTCATATTTAACAGATGGCCCTGACACCAACATCACAAATGATGAGAGTTAAGAGCCTGTGAAGTCCAGAGAGCTTCCGAATAAAGGTTGAGGACTGAGTACAGCTGCCCCGGGGGCGCAGAGAGATTGTTCTACCACATCCGCTCCGCTAAAAATCGGTCAATAATAGATGACCTGAAATGGAAGCAGTCAGCAGCTTGTTGTTAAATGAGCGACTGAGGACAGGAGGCAGACGGGAGAAAGCGGCGTTTTCAGGGCAGGTTTCTCTGGAAATGTGTGTGTCCACATGTGTATGCAAGCTTCTGTGGTAGTATTTTCTTTGTGCAGCTTATTACAATCATAAAAGCAAGAATCTCTTAAGTAAACTACAAGAAATGTACAGTGCTGTGAAAAACTATTAGTCCACAGAATATTGGAAAATATTCTGTGGACTGATGAGACAAAATTTGAACTTTTTGGAACGTTTGAGTCCCGTTACATCTGGCATAAATCGAACAAAGCAATTCATAAAAAGAACGTCACACATGGGACGACCGTCAAGTTATGCCCTAAATCTCAAGATCTGAAACACACCAGCAGGTCCGCCTCTAAGTAGCTCAGATAACGGCACTGTTGCCTCACCGTCGCACACGTCCAGGTTTGTAACCCACCATGTTGTCAGGCCTTTCTGTGTGGAGTCTGCATGCTCTCTCTGTGTGACCTAGTCAAAGTGTGGACCTGAATCCAATTGAGATGCTTTGGCGTGACTTTAAACAAGCAGTTCATGCTGGAAACACCTTAAATGTGGCTAAATTAAAACTATTCTGCAAAGATGAGTGGGGCTAAAATTCCTCCACGCTGATGTGAGACTCACTGCCAGTTACCACAATCACTTGATTGCAGTTTTTGCTGCCAAGGGTGGCAAAACCGCATTCATAGGTTTAGGAGGGCAATTACTTTTCCACACAGGGCCGTGTATGCTTGGGTAGATTTTCGTTGCCCTGAATAAATTAAATCCTCATTTAAAAACTGCACTTTTTATTTATTCAGGTTGTCTTTTTCTAATTTCTAAACACATAAGAAAGAGGAAAAAGACTTTTTCACAGCACTGCAGGTGTAAAATTCTCCCTGATCATTACTTTTACATCTTTATGAATGCTTCATTGTACTTTTTAATTACAATAAATTGAAGCACAAAGTGAGGACACGGAGTCGAACGTTTCATGCTCGGCTCGCTCACCTCCAGCAGAGTCTGGGGGCCGTACATGTCCCAGATCTTCCTCCTGCGAACATCGATGCCCCTTCCAGGGTGCTGTAACACAAGATGCCTGATGGTCAGAGAGGCTAATCAACCTCAAACACATTCACACACTCAGCCAAGTCAGATCAAAAACATTAAAATTTAGAATGTACCCCTTAACGACAATGGCCGGCCGATATGTTTCTACTACCAGATCTGGACCTGCCCCGGCGTTTTCCCCTGTCTATAAAAGTCCACTGTTTACCTCAGCTGCTGAGTGAGAGATGTCCATCTTTATTTACGCTTTACTTTGTCAAAGGAGATCGATACGGGTTGAGCTGCTGTTTTTACCGCTGTTAGCTCCTGTTAGCCAACAAAGTTGGAATCAAACACTTACTGAATAAACTCGCATCCAATGTGAGATGCAATCAAACTGTTTATCAGAGGGAAAGTGTGACCTTTAAACTCTACGTTATACTAACTGCTGTTGTTGCCAGCTCATTGTCAGTTGCCTGGAGATACGAGGGTCGCATTTCTAATCTGTAGAAAATATGTAATTGGGACAATATCTGGAATAAATCAGCATAGTTATGAAAAGTTTTGTCTTCAGTTCAGGAAACAAGGTATGAGATGTTGGTTTGGAAAAATATTCAGCGATGCTTCATCTCCTGCTTTGCGTTTGTGTGGGAGCCCCGTCAAGAACCTGTCCATTATCCATTATGCTAGCAGTGTCCAAGCTTTCTTTTTTTTTTTTCATACCGCACCTCCCCTGCAATGGCTCTGCACCCCCCCTAGGGGGCGGGCCCCACACTTTGGGAAGCTCTGCACTAACTAACTCCTATACATTTTTAATGGATCCATTCTAAGTTTATATGAACATATCAGTTTGTTGAAAGAGACACTAATCTATGTATATTTATGAGTACAACACTCTTTTTTTTAAATCAAATAAACTAAAAGGAAATTACTGACTGTACCTTTAAGACAGCGCTTCTGGCTTTCCTAAAGTTAGTGTGAAATGTTTTATATGTGACCACCATATAAAGGGTTATCAAATATGAAGAGTGTTCTCATACTGTGGATGATTTTGAGGACTTTGTGGGCTTTGGGTGAGAATGTAACCAGGAAGTAGCTGCTGTTTGTTTGAATTTAGAAGAAAATCAGTGTTCAGTCACCAGTGTGCAGAACAAAAGCTGAGGATTCAGTCACTCATAACAAAGATCAAACACTCGGTCCAGCGTGACGATCTGGCCTAATAAACTGCTGCTTTTACATGAATTCATCAAGCACTGAACTCACCCCTTCATTGGTCAGAATGTGAACCAAGAGGCCATTTCCACAGCCGAGGTCCACAAAGGACTGCCTGGCAGTCAGACCTTTCTCTGCTCTCTCCTCGGCCCACAGCACCTGCAGCAGCACGGTGACACAGACTCATGGTTAGGGAGTGACAAATGCTGCTGATACTCGTAACCTACAAATGGATTCCTAAGGTCAAAGGTCATTTTTCACATTCAGGTTGATTGATTTAGCTTAAGTTGCATGACCCTCTGACACCTGACATAAGGTCATGTGAGTTATTAGCTGTTTTTACCTGCACACACAGTACCTGTATGGACGTATTTGTTAATTATTTCAAAGGCTAATTCAAGTATAATCGTGATAGGATCCACTCATTTGGTGAAAAGAAGATTATTGGAAGGTTTGAACTAACCAGGAGATACGTAGCAATAGCAACATCCTCATACACAAACTTTTCAGGATCTGTAACCTCAGGCCAAACCTGGAAACAGTGTGAGAAATATATATGAATATATCAACACAAGAGAATAGGACGTAAACAAAAGAATAAACAAGCCTCACATCATCCAGTCTCCTCACCTTCACCATGGCCTTGTACTTGTCCTTCAGCTGTTGGTACATGAGGCTGTACTTCTCCACTGGCAGCAGAGACAACGTGCTCCTGAACTCGCTACTCCTGCACTCGGTGGCCCAGCGCACCAGTTTAGGCAGCAGGTCAGAGGACAGCCAGGGCAGCTTGGGGTAGGCGACGCCATCAGAGAACCAGGAATCGACCGACAGCGCACACAACTCCAGGGACCTGCAGATAAAGCACAAGTCATCTACAGTGTTGTGCTCATTTTATGCTAACTATACTAACATGTATATTAACTGAGAGTTTGTGACGTCGCTGCTCCGAGTTCACTTATATCAATATCAGGAGGATTTTTAAATATGAAAAAATAATTTTAAATATTAATAAGAAAAAGGAGATAAACCCAAAACAAATAAAAAAAAACAGAGACAATGTAACAAAGTTTGAACAATAAGAATAACAACTCTAAATTATATTCTGTGGTTTAAATTTTCTTATTGCTGTTGACACTGAATGTCAGACCCATTTTTAAACATCAGTGGTGGACTACAAAAATAATAATACTAGATGGTGAAGACCCTCAAAAAAACCCTAATAACTTGTCTTTCATTCATACACCCACTGTTAGAAGAAATCAAGACTCAGACCAGACGAGATTTTCCAGTCTTTTCTTGTCCAGTGAAATGCAGCCTCAGTTTTAACAGGAGTGGCACCTGGATTGGTCTTCTGCTGTAGTAGACGATCCACTTAAATGTTTAATATGTTGTGCACTCAGAGATGCTCTTCGGCATATTTTTTGTTATAACAAGTGTCTATTTGAGTTACTTTTGGCTTCCTATCAGCTCGAAGAGGTCTGGACATACTCTGACCTCTGACAAAAAGAAGCAGAGCTGCAGCTCATTGGATATTTTCTCTTTTTCCACTCCATTCCCAGTAAACTCTAGAAATGCCAGCAGATCAGCAGTTTCTGAAATATTCCAACCTATACGTATGGCACCAACAACAATGCCATGCTCAAAGTCACTTAAATCACCTTTCTTCCTCATTCTGATGCTCAGTTTGAACATCAGGATTGTATAATCAACCAGTAAACTATCGTCCAAAACAAGGCATTTCGTCCTGTATGTTCTAATGTGCTGTAAAGATGATGACTGCAGACTCACCATTCCTCACAGTCCTGATTGCAGAGCTGAATCTGATAAATGTTGCCTTTCCTCAGAGACGCTTTTCCCTCTGCATCCTCTTCAAATGGAATAAAGGTCACTCGCTGTCTACCAAAGTCTGCAGAGAACAAGAGAGAAGGCATTAGAAAGAAATATAACTGATACAACAGTTTGCAGAAGTGAGAAGCTCTTACCTTTCAGGATAATTTCTTTATGCAGGTTTGTCCCATAACAGTTTACTTTGGGAATAAATGTCCTGACGCTGGAGGACCATGGTTTGTCGGCTTCGTGGGCAGCTGAGGCCCCAGTGATCATGAAGAGCAGCGCATCTGTGAAGAGTTCAGGATCATGCAGCAGGAGCCGTAGGTCGTCTTGGTCCACATCTTTGCTGTCTGTCTCTTTAACTCCACAAAGACGCTTGTTTACAACATGAGGTTTCTTTATCCACACGTCTACGGCTGACCAGAAGCCATCGGGGAGACTCTTACATCCTCCCGGGAACTTTATATCGAAGAGCTTTGGCATAACTGAGCAAGCGAAGCATGTGTGTCTACAATCACTGAATCAACTTCCGGACAGGAGGGTTTTTTGTTTTTTTTTGGGGGGGGGGGGGGGGTGCGCCGATATATGTTTCCAAGAACAATGAAATGAAAAACGGATCATTTACGATAAATCCTACTTTGGTCCAAAAGCCTTTTAAGAGCTTTATTTAAAAGAAAAAGCGAGAGGCAGCTAGAAAAACGCACTACTATGTCGCTGAGTGATGACGTTTACACCAGCGACAAAACTCTATCATCTACGCGGCATGCCCAATAGAGGGTGCTGTTTATCTTTGTCTGTAATGACTCTGTAGTCATTCAGGGGTTTAGGGGGATGTTTTTGTTTTGTTTTTTGTTTTACTAAATAGCGAACAAGTCAAAAAGAAATCACTAAAACTATAAGAAGATTATTTGTAGCCTTCACTAAAGCTGTTTTTGTACTGTGATGAGCTCTGAAACCTGACTGAAACTCTTCAAATAAACCGAATAATAAACATCGGCAGATGATCAGTATGCTGTTTTACAAGGTTGGAGATTGGCCTAAGAAAGCTAGGTCAACTGATGGCTTTTTAAGCAACGATTTAACTTCTACCAGCTTGGATGTCTGTGGTATAAAGTAAAAGTAACGAACACAGTGTTGGAGTGTTGCACAGTATAGCAGATTAATGTGATTTTTAGCAGATGATGCTTAGATTCATTCACCGAATTCCTCCTTCGTACCAACTTTATAATATCTATTATAAGTTAGTATGAACATTGTAGTGTCAGTGTAGAGGATGGATGCAGTAGCACAGATCAACTGATCACAGCTTGTGCATTAAGAAAATCTGCTGGCACTCTCTATAGAACCTATTCTGAGTTGTGAGTTCTGGCCCTTCCTGAACCATTTCAACTGATTTTAGGATTAGTCGACACTAGTATATAGATTTCTTCATAAAATTAAGGCAAATCATCAAAATAATCTCAGCTCTTCATGTTTCTTCTCGCTGTCTTCAAGCTTGGACTCTTCCCTTTCTTCTCTTTCAGCATTTGTGCATTTCTTTGGCAGGCTTTATCAAACATTGTGTACAAGCCTTGATTTTTTTTCTTTCCATGTCTTGAAGCTTGCATTGTATCTCTTTATTTAAGCTTACAATTCTTGAATTTTGCACTTCATAAGTTGGTGTGCTGCCTCCTGCTGTTCTTTGTCTTTCAACAGTTGAGTATTTCATCTCACTGATTCTTCCAACATTACTTGCAGCCCTTCATTTTTCTTCTCTTCCACTTGAAGCTTGCACTTCATCACTTGGTGTATAGCTTCCATATTATGAATTTGCACTGCAAATGTTATTGTATTTCCTCCTGCTGTTCATTCTCATACAACATTTGTTTATTTCTTTGATGTGCTTCATCAATCATGTCTTGGATCTTGATCTCCATCTCAGTGCTTCGTGCTTCTCTTGTTTTCAGTTCAGCTTCCATATCTTGAAGCTTACATTGCTGTTGGTGTATTTCCTGCTGCTCCTCTTTCTCTTTCATCACACATTTTTTGCAGGCCTTTATTTTTGTTCTCCATGTCTTGGAGCTCTGACTACACGTCACGATACTTCTTGTCCACCTGAGTTTTTTCCACATGCCTTTCTTTAATCCTGTTCTCCAGGTGGAGTTTTTCCCTCACTACATTTATCAAATGCCTTTCTGAGTGCTACAAATCCACTCCTTTCAGGAGCGATGGGGTGAGCCTTTTTTCATGTTTTTTTTTTTTAGTATCTCAATGCTACAATTCTTCTAAGAATCTGAATGTTTTCGAATTCTTCTTAGTTGATACTGAATGATTGATGGCTGTGAACATCAAAGCTGCAAACAAACAGACGCTTGGGCTGAAAATGGAACTTTACTCTGCCTACTTATAAGTTCAGACCAAAGAAAGGTGAATTTTATATCCTAAAAATCTCCCAAGGCTGCTGCTGAGGTCAACACTACATGTGCAAATTAGCTGGTCACATGACACTTTTGAATAGGAGGTTTTTTTTCTATTTTATTTTATTTTATTGGAAGAATTATAAATAAAGTTACAATCTCTGCAATTATTGTGACATTCATATTATTATTCACCGACTCATTAACATATTTATTTTCAGTGGTCATCACATATAGAAAACTGCACATATAGAATCAAAAGTCAAATCTAATAAGAACAGGTCAAATGTGACTTTGTGATTTTGCTAGCATTTCAAAGGGTTTTTCCTGCTGGACGTTATTATCCCAATTCCACAGTGTCCTCTCGATCTCCCTTTTTCCTGAATGAGTGTGTCAGGACACCTTCTTGCTGGGATGAGCTGTAGGAGCTTCTCCTCACCTGGCGCTGCTGACTCAAACTGGCACACAAACTGTCCATCATTAGTTACCTGCACGTGTACGAATCAGCTCTTCATCCACTCATGTCCAGCTCAGTGCTGCACTCAGTAACTAGTGCAGCTCTAGGAAATCATCTTCATTGGCTGTTTTTCTCCATCGCTCTTAGATCCCCTCTGCTGTGCCCGTCTAAAAGAAAACTAACTGTCTGGGAAAAACTTTGTTCACCTGCCTGCCTTTGGCTCAAACCTGTTCTCTTGTGTAATCAAACCTGGTTCCTCTCTCACCGTCTGCCTTTGGGTCCAAAACCCAGTGCCCATTTTGACTGTAACAATGAACTGAACTGAAATCTAACCTACAACACCAAAAACGGTGCACCATCTTTGTCCCATGGGAGACGTATTATGTCTCTGTTAAAAATACAAGTTGTGGACATTTTCGAAGGTTTGACCCTTTAAACTTTTTTTAAAAAGGAAGAAATTTGGGCGACACCATGTGTCCTCCAGCAAATATTTCCTCTGTGGTCCCATTAAAGATGGATTAAAACATGACCTTGAGTTCTCTGTTCCTTGGCCATAATGCACAGGATAAACAGCTCACTGTGTGAAGAAAGGTTGATTAAAGAAAAGAAGAAGAATCTTAAAAAGAAAGAAAGAAATAATGGCCCAGACTTCAGGAATCGCTAATCAAATATATAAAAGTTTTGATTCATTCATAAGCGTGATCACTCCTGGGCTATGGTTTAAATCTATGTTACAGCTATGAGCACTAAAAGAGATTTTAAAAAATAAATTTTCTGTTGTCTACATGGTCGCCTTTACCTCTACACCGAAACAGAAAATAAGAACAGTCAGGGGTTAAAGTGAGATTTGGCAAGTGGTACAGTGTGTACACACCACTGACACAAACGGTTTGAAATAACAAGATGTTGAATGAACTTGTCAAAGTCTCCATTCTTTAGCCGTCTTCCATATATCTTATTTCTCTTTATGAGGCTCTTTAAGATAATTAACATTTTCTGACAGGGTGAACCCAGCCCAGCCCAGAGGAAGCACTGGCTCCAAGTCTCTTATTTCTTTTATTTACTCTATAAATATGAGTCTGACTGTGTGTGAGTTACAGTGACAGTGAAGACTATTATATTTCTTTCTGCTTCTGGTCTTTTCAGTTCAGACGTGTCATTTTTCATTTTCACGGCAATGATTTGTCCGTGTAGAGTTGCAAAACACAAGAGCTTGTGAATGTGAGAACTTGTAAAAATTAACTAAAAAACATAAATATATGAGTCAAATATTTCTGTGTGTAAATAGCAGTCTACATATTACAAAATATTTTTTCTGTAACTCATTTCAAAAATACAAGTTCACATATACGAGCTCTCACACTGTTCAACATATTTATCTTCAATAAGTCATGTTTCCCCTTTATTTTTATTATCTGTCTCTTTTTCATCCCCTTTTGTTTGTTGTTCAGTGTTTTGGATGGATACTGCCTGTCTTGCTGTGATATGAGCTTCCAGCTAAGCTTGTGTCGTATAAATGAGAGTTATGCCCAGTGTAACAGAAAACCATCAGATTTAGGAGAACAGGAAACATCTCTCAAGATTCAAGATTCAAGAGCTTTATTGTCAATACAGTAGTATACACAGTATACAGTGTACCGAAATGCTGTTCCCCACCGGTGCATTTATAAATATATAAGGGATATATCTACACACACTTCCTGTCAGCCTCTAGCCTCTCATCACTTGCTGGAAACAACACATTTCTGTCTAAATACATGTGTAATGGGTTATTATTGTCCTGCATGACTTAAGAAATTTGATGACACCATAATTTGTCATCTCATTATGTCGTAATGTTTCTATTGTTTGTCTGAAGCTAATGACAGAAAAAAAAAAAACAAACATATTCCTGAAAGAGGTCTAAGTCATCACAAGCCTGTTGTGACTGTTAAGCTGTAGCCGAGCTGGAAGCGCTTGAAAGAAGTGGTAACAGATTACTTTTAGGGCGATCATGTGTGCACGGTCCTATAGGCTGGTCCACTGTCAGGGTTGTATAACCGAGGCAGGCTGGCAGAGAGGAGTAAAGTAGGAGAGACTGTACCAGGAAGTGCAAAGTTCTATCTGTGCTGCCTGCTTTGCATTCAAATGCAACTTGAGAGGCTAAAAATCTCGTCCAACTGGTTCAGCAACAACAGGCATGGAGGAAAGGAAGACTGAAACGGAAAACCATCTGTGACACTTCATATGACTCAAACCTAATAGCAGGTTTAATCCATGCTCAGTCTTGAGAGTAACACAATGGTGCTAATTACACTGTGGTAACAGTTTGTACTCTAGTATTCATTAACTTAAATTAATCACAACACTATTCACGTGGAGTAGTGTTATGATTCAGTATGGTCATTTCCTGATCAAGGCAAGTAATACATTCAGTAACACAGTCAGAGATTCAAACTAAAAGTAATTTAACGACATATTAATTAAACCTTCTAATCTTTTTGAAAGTTGTCTTTTTTATATTTTTATATTGTTTCCATTATCATTATAATAATTATTATTATTCATAGCAAACATCTAGCCTAGCAGTTTTTGCCAGGCCTATGGCGCTTTATCATGTATGGATAATTCATCTTGTGATTCTTAATATCCTCAGTATACAGTGACAAAAACTTGGTTGTTTACAAACTCTTTAACAAAAAAGTATATTTATCTTCTTTTCAAGCTATAGTCAATGTCTGATCAAAAGTAATCACATTACAAGCAGTACATGTATTAGTAAGACAACACACATCGAATGAACCAAATTCTGTCACATATGCAAGTTTTGAGAGAATTAAGTTACATACAACATATGTTCAATGTGGAATGATGATTAT